CCATAAGACCTGTTGCCAGAGATTTTCAGTAGAGCTGTTGAGTAATTTGCCATTTTTGTTACCCACTAGTCTAGTTTCTTTAGTTATTTAAGGATGCACTGCTCACCATGCCAAGACATGCCATGTTTTCAGGTAACAGCTCTTTGGGAATCATTTGTTGGTGCCAAAATGTAATTTTATGCTTGTCAACCTTTATTATGTTTGTTTTTTGTTCGACTAAATTATAAGATGGGACTAAATCATGTGTTGTTATAGGTTGCAATGGGTACCTAAAGATGCAACTGGTTTATTGTTATCCGTTATGTGTAGACACAACATTAGTTCATCCTTTGAGTTAGGTGCCTTTTTTGTTTGAATGATTCATAAGTTAAGTGGCTTCATCAAAAAATACAAATAATAATTAAATGAAAAGGACTAGACTGGAAATGAGTGAAAAAGCAGCCAATGTCCAAAGAAAAACTTTGAAAAACCTTCAGAAAGCCTGGAGAACTATTGCATAAGACTGCTTTAAAAATGAGAAATCTACGGCTCCTTGGAAGCAAAATATGAAGAAAGGAGTGGCTCAAAACCACAATATTATATTTTTCACAGAGCATACTGATTTATTTTACAATTTAGTCTTATATTAATACAGAGCCTTTTACATCTCTGCAAACTGAGTAATGTACATCTAATATTTACTCATTGTTTGCTCTGTTTTTGTCTTCACTGCCTAACTGAATATGTGCCATAGAATATGCAACTTTTCCATCTTCTTTACTTTAGAGACAACAGAAACAAGTGAGGTGAATCCTCATAAGATAAAACTTTGTACAAAATTGGGCAGAGCCATTGTTGATATAAAAACTATTTATTACAGCCTGCATGTCTGTGATAATGATATACAAACAAAACCTTTCTGCAACATGTGTGTTAGCCTCATACTCCCAGTTAATCGTGTCATTAATCATAATGACATGTCTTGGATACCTCTGAAGTTGACATTCATTTGAAACGGGGGTCAAGAAAGTATAAAATGCAAGTAAACAAAGCTAAAAATTGCATGGCTAAGAAATGTAAATGTCAACATGGAAACAGATGTGGTATGAAAATTATGTACAAACATTGAGATGTCAGTTTAAATTATCTGAATTACAGCTTTGGTTTCCTTTAGTCAATCTAAAATGCAGTAAAATAGCATCTTTTTGATGTTTAATGGATGCAATAAGCGATGCTGCATGTGGTCTTTGCTCTTGAAAGAAAGTCTTGAAGTGAGGATATGAATCAGATACAGTCTTCTAAGCTAACTGCGTGGTAGACTTGAGGCTAATGGCTTCCATGCTATCCATTCCAGTGCTGCCCTCTGCCTTTTGAACAAATAATCCTGGAGAACTGTTATCTTTCAGGTTCAGTTTGTAGATGCATGCTTCACCTTCTACTTCAATTACTGTTTTCATTTCCATGAGGAAGGAGAAAACAGGGAGTAGGATATCATTCCAGGTTTTGTAATAAGAATTGCAATGTTTCTGTATACGTTCAAAACTTGATCTTGCAGCTATTATAAGCTTAGAGAGGACAGCTGAGTGTTGTTGTGTTTAATTTTATCAGATATCAGAGATGAGAAACCAGCTTGCATAGATTTTCATGTCTGAGCACGTATATCTACCACACAGACTGCATATAAAGAATGGGAATAGTTTCCAGGTCTAAGAGGTAAAGTAAATGCAGAAGGGCCACAAACCTGCAAATCTGTCAAATGACCAACAGGAGGCATCTTGTTGGAAAAAGATGTCCGACATATATAAATCTATGAGAAAATAACTCTACAAGTCACTTTGTTTGGGATTTAGGACCCAGTGTTTTGATTTTCTTTAACTTTTAGTGTTTCCTGGTTTCTTTATTTCAGTTTGTCCCTTATGTTAGGGAGAATGTAATTCCTCAGTGTTTAGCCTTTGGTTCTTGTTATTCTTAGTTTTCTTTACGTCAGTGTTTCTAGTTTAGACCACCTTAGTTTTACCTATCTGGTTTCTGCTCTCAGTTAAGTTTGTTTTTATTCTATCCCTTGTTTCAATTATCATGCTTGTCCAGTGTTGCCGTGCGTTGTCTAGTTTTTGTCTGTCTGTGATGCCATGTTTAGTAAATTCCTTTTTTATTTTGCTTCCTTTGTCGTGTCTCCCTTGATTGTTGTCAGCTGTGTCCTTACCTGTTGCCCATCCTCTTGTCATCATTTGAGTATTTATTGTCTGTGTCACCCTTTGGTCATTGTCACGTCCTATCGTCATGCCTGTGTGCTCACTAGTGTTTTACAGTGGCTTGTCTTTGAACATGTTAAACAGCCAGCAATATTCATTCATTCATTCCACTTCACAATCCTAAGTTCTGCATTTGGGTCTGCAACCTGCCTGTTATACAGCACTACGTGGTACACTTGATATCTGACTGCAGTAAACACTTTTAATGAGGTGAGTTTACGGGCTCAGTATAACCAAATACATCACAAAGTTTATTTTGTAAAGCATGGTACTCATTATAGTTTAAAAAGGACTATAAAGAAGTGTACGCTTTAGGGACACCATATTTTGTGATTGACAATCTGCTTGTACAGTCCCTCGGTTCATTAGTCAGACCCACTCACTCATTTCAAAATTTCACTAATCACTAAGTAATGTCATGCGGTTGTGTCCATCTTTTGTATACAGTCTACAATCTTCCCATGTCCTTTGAAAGACATGGCCCCAGCATATTTTAAAATAAAAAAGTGAATGAGAAGCGCTCTATGGTTGGCACTTGATCGATTATTCGTCAAACTATGGTTCAGAACATTTTGTTTCAGTAGCACCATTGCCTCTAGGTGCCACTTATTTTGCTGCCTGTAAGCCTGTCAGTAAGTTGCCAAACACAGTCACTTACTCATACACTGACTAATAACACTTGGTGGAAAGTGTGTGAATCTGCAGTGCTGAGCAGAGGTTTGCTGATTTCTCCACTCCTGCAACAAGTCTGTTTCCAAAATTGCTGTGTAGATTCACCATAAATGAAAAATCTGATTTTTAAATGACTTTGTTATGTATATGTATTTTATTTTGGCTATTTTACACTGGCCTCGATGATTGCTTAAATACTTATGTTTCAGTGGACATTCCGTGATTTATTTTTGGCTACATTAATGCATGGATGAAAAGTTCTGGCACATAACACAGAGATATATAGTGTCAGAAACCCAAAATCATGACATAAAGCAGGTGTGTAAAAATAAGATCAAAGTTTACTTGAACCAATATCAAAACATTACCTTCAAAGAAGGCAAAGATTCAGGCAGGGTTCAAAAGCAGGCAGAGAAAAAACAGACTAATACAGGAAGACAGCCGAGGGGGGTGGAAATCAGCCGTGAACGTGTGCCGTAATGACTAAGGGGACCAGTTGGTGAAGTGGATGCAGGTGAGCAAAGAAGCTGAAAGGAAAGCAGGGCAGGTGGGAATGGTGGGTTTGGAACAACAGGAGGGAAGTGAATGGGAACATAAAAAAACAAACTGCATGAAGACCAATATACACCCAAAAATCTTCTAATATATTTAAAATATGCATGTTACAACTATAATTTTTTCTGCTAATTGTACCTTCTTCAAGAAGAGATAAAGAAGACCATAAAGCAAGACAAGACACAAATGATGGGAGAGAAGGCAAAATTGAATATAGTAGTTGTATATAAACACCTGGTAAGTAAAGAGAGGTTAGTGGAGAAGTCCAGTGCATCATGGGAAGTCCCCCAGCAACCTGAGCCTATTGCAGAGGATCACCTGATCTAGCTCACACTATAAGCTTTATCTGGAAGTAAAGTTTAAAGTCAAATCCTCAATGGAGACAGGTCGTCTGTCTGGAAGCTGGTTCCACAGGGGTCTGACAGCTGAAATCTCTCCCTCCCATTATACTTACTACTGGGAACCACAGGTAAGCCAGCAGTCTGAGAGTGAGGTGTACTGTTTGGATAATATGGTACTGTGAGGTCTCTGACATATGATGAGGCCTGATTATTCAAGACCTTGTATGTGAGGAGAAGAATTGGAAAGTAAATTCTGGGTCTAGCAGGTAGCCAGTGAAGAGAAGATAATATGTTAGAAACATGATCTCTCTTTCTTGTCCCAGGCAGTACTTTCACTGCCGTGTTTTAGTTCAACTTAAGGCTTTATGGGGAATTTTTAGAACCGTCACATAATAAAGAATCAAAATAGTCCAATCTACAAGTAATAAATGCACGAACTAGTTTTTATCACCACTCTGAGACAGGATGTTTATAATTTTATCAACTTTGGGAATCAATCAGTCATTCAAATACCTCATTTATATTTAGGTGATCTCCCACGCAAGGTCATCTTCTCAGATATGTAGACAGCATCTGGTTTCACCACAGCCCTCAAACTTGCAGAGAGAGCAAGAACATCAACTTCTGTTTCAAATAGACCTGAATTTTGTGTTAAAGTTCATTTCTTCGTATGCAAACAGACACTTTTCAAGCCTGAGGAAAGAAACCAGTTTGTTCACAATTTTTTTTTTTGTCAACACTCGTCAAATTGCACAGTCACAGTCACCACACTGAACACAGTGGAGAAATGGAGTTTTTTTTCCCCCGAAGTATAAAAAGTTCTAAATTGAAACTTACATTCAACAAACTATTTTTTTAGGTTTATGGATTAGTGCCACCATGCTTTAAAAAAGCATCACTGTTTCATACCTACCTCCAACAATCCAACTGTTATATTTCATACACATTCTCCAGAATTTAAGGATGACTAGTTGAGGGTAAACACTTATTGCACAACTTTTTCACTATAATGAGCACCAAGCCCATATGATGACTCAGATTTAAAGTCATTAAAAACTATAAACTGTTAATGATTCAGAAGCCAGTTTTCCCGAATGTTGACAGTATGAAACATCCTGTCTTGTGCAACAAGGCTAAAGATCCACATTTTCACCTGAAGGACTCGGAAACACACTCTGCAGAAGTGTCACCTTTCATCGTTCTCACTTGCGATGGTATCAGGTGTACTTTGAACAGGCTTGTGTGTGGCTAAAACTACCCTTGCGCAGGATGGGTGGGGTAATGTGGTGTGTGTTTAAACAGACAAGGTAAGGTCCCCCGTCACAATACGTGCTCAGGCAAAGATCGGGCTTGAATGGAATCCTTTACCTGTAACTCTGGGGAAACTGTACACTGAAAATCTACAACGAGACTTCAGTGCCCGTCGAAACCACAATGGAGACAACTAATGATACCACAAAAATCCTGGGGAAAGGTCCTGAATACCTTCGTAAACAAATGGATTTAGAGAGTGAGACAAAAGGACGCATGAGTGCCGTGGAGAGGCTCGCCGCAAGTAAACCAAAATACGTCAAAAGCCAACAGGTGGTTAACTCAACTCAGGAGCCAGTGATTAGCCTTGGATCGGCCTCTGTGAGTAGCACTGGGTCCTCTAACCGAAGCTCACACCGGGATGGGAATCTTCCTACAGGGAGTGACTTGACAGGGAATACACTCACTGTGCAAATCTCTTCACCAGTGCAGGCACATCGCTCCAGCGCCAAAAAACGACCAGACTCTCTTCTAATTTACAGACAGAAATGTGAGTTATTGAGAGGGCCAGCAAATGAACGGAAACACCATATAACCCGTAAGTTGTTGCTCAACCCTGTGAATAAAAATGCCCCATTATCCGAGGGGACAGATAAGGAATGTGAGTCTCAGGGCAACGGGGGAAAAATCACCACGCCTAAGGAAACAGCAAAGGAATGGAATCCACATGTAGTTATCTCTAAACCGGAGAGCAATGGAGTGACAGAAGAGTGCAGAATCAAGAACAGTGACTCTGGTACAAAACCTAAGGCTGGAGTTGTAAATGCATCTAGTGGTCTCCTGACAGTTCCTGAGGTTGAAAGGAGGTCTGGCAAAGGAGTCAGTCGTTCTCACTCTGATATCAGCTCCAGGTATTCCAAAAACTTTGCAGACTTTGATGTTTTTTTCAAGTACTGCGGGCTGGACGGTGAGGTCATTGAGTCTTTGGGGAAGGACAACTTCTCGGCTCGCTCAGATGAAATTGCAATAATGGTTCGGAGTGTCAGTGTTTCCACGTCAGATGATGGCTTTTCCAGGAACAGTAGTGACAGCGATGCGCTCATGGAGGAAAAGCTGCACGAGAAGATACGTCAAGAGACCTCAGTTATTGAGCGCAACGCACGGATTATCAAGTGGCTGTACAGCTGTAAAAATGCTAGTGACACTGGAAAAAAGTTACGGGATCTTCACTGATTGCGCTTTTTCTTTTACCCAAGTGATGTTACATAAAAGTTATATTTTGAGGACAAAGATGGAAGTAGTTTCTTGTTTTTGGCCTTAGAAAACACTGAATGATACCCTACTTGTCCAACTGTACCTAAATCTTAGGTTATGTATTGTGTATGCTGCGTGTGTGTGTGTGTGTCCTTTACTGATGACTTTTCTGAGAGCAAATGATGACTGAGTGATTTCTTATTTTTTTCTTCTTCTGTTTTTTTTACTTGCACAGGACCATCTATGATCTCAGTTACACTGGAAACAGATAAAATACAATGTCATAAAAGCTATACAAAAACAAAAAGTATTTACATTATTCAGCTTCAACATTTTTAGGATTACTGGCTTATTTAATATAATACTTTTGCGTTCTATTCAGACTCTATAAAAAAACATTTCTGTATTAAATATGGTCAAACGTGCATACAAGAAGGCAAGCAGTAATTCAAAAGAATTCAGTGAAGTGCTGTGATATGAAGCAAAAACATACTAGTATGAACTAGTTTGGGATTATTTTCTTTTTCCATAAAAATAAAATACTTTTAAGTTCAGTGATTTTGGGTGTGAATGGGCCACAGTCATATAGACTTACATTGTTTATAAAAGCTATACTGTATTTTTATGCGACTATAATTTAAAGCTTTTGAAAATGTACAAAATTTGTCAACATGACATACTTCCTGCTAATGATAACTCAACGTCTAACAATGCTGCAGCAATTCTAGCTGTAGCTTTTTGATGAGTTGTCATCAATGTTACATAATTCATCTACAAAACATTAGTGTGTTTATTTATTATTCATTAAAATGCAATTATTTTATACGATCACTTATAAAATGTACTATTTGTAAAGAGTGGTACTATTATTTTAAGATAAAAGGCTCACAGCTCATGGCCTTTTGATTCTTCCCAGGAACATTAAAAGGAGTCTCACACTGATGCTCATAAATTCTGCTCCTCTGCGAATACCTTTAGGCCACCTCAAACATGAAAGCATCCCTAAATCAGAATTTGTACAACCTGCCTTTTAAGTTTATAATCCAATAATGTGCACTCCCATTTCTCTCGGGGTGAAAGGTATACATTCCATCACACCAACACACATGAAGACACACACACCCACACACAACCTGGAGACTTACTCTGAGTTTACCCATAACTACTGCCTGCCAAACTCTGACCATAACTTATCCTAATGTTAAAAGATAGCTTTAATATATAAATTTGAATGATTTAGATCATGAGGATTTGTTCCCTTGTCCACATACAAAAAGAAAATGTGCATGTAAGTGTGTAAATAAATTTAGGTCACCACAACAAGTGTAATACCTGCCACCCCACAGACACTCAAATACAAACCACAGCAACTGATACAAAAAAATTTACGTATGGAAGATCTGCTTATATTTAACAGATGTATGAAAAAACATTTGAGGAAGTGGTTATTTTCCTCGCAAACTTTCCCTTAGATCTGTTAGGGGAATGTGCTTAATAATCTGATCGGCTTATGTCCAGTGACCCGTTGTTGTTGTATCTCTCTCCCAAGCTCCGTCTGCTTTGTCTCTTCATTGTTTTCTCTCTCTTTTTGTCTTTTAGCCAAGTTTTTTTTTTATTCTTTGAAGATCAGTGGCTGAACATGAGCTGGGGGAAAGCAATGGAAAGACTGTGCTTGACGCAGTATGTTAAACGTATTACCACCTATTCAGTTTCACTCATTGTCTTCTTACAGAGAAAGAAACTAACAATATACGTTATCAGTTTATGTGAGTGGGCACAAAGTAGTTAGCTGGTGCAGACACACCTTTCACTTCTCCAAATGCCTGACTGACTGTTTAGTACAAGCCTCCACTTGTTGGTTGCCAAAAGTAGAGGTTACCTGTTGATAATGATAGTCATCAATATGTGATTATTGATTGTGAATGTGAACTCACTATTGCTACAAGTTTGCATTTAATTTTGTTTTTTATATGTAAAACTTAAAATTTTTGTACTCCTAGATAATTTGTATATCTTTACCACCTTTTGCCCAGTTTTACTGCTACTGAAAACGTAAAACACAAATAAAACTGTTTTTACAAGTAAAATGTTGCATGAGTATACTCACAGTGGGTGGAATGGAAATGTTTGCTAAAGTTTAAAAGTTTTAAGGGTGAGTATATTGTCTTTGAATTACTCCCCTGCGACCATGATAAGCGGAAGGGAATGGATGGATGGATGGATTGATGTTAAACTACTTACTCTTTTATTAGTTGTTCTGTTGGTTATGAGAATTATCAATTACCTATACACTGCCACTTCATCAGTTACACATTGCTAACACTGGGTTACCTTCAGGGCTGCCTTAATTCTTCTTGGTGATGTGATATCATTATATTTATCATATCATTACATTACATTGCTGCTGATTTTTCAGCTGAAGATCAATTATGAGAATCTCCTCCTCCACCACATGCCAAAGGTACTCTAGGTGTCTATTAACTGTTTCTTATATTCTGTTTTTCCACTGTACTTGAGCCCTCCAACTGCTTTATATACAAACACACATTCATCAGTGGCATGCCGTGACTTTTACAGAAAGGCAAGCAGAGACAATCGTCACCCCTCACACCCACTACACACACAAACAAACACACCTTCTTCAAAAACACCAATTTAACAAGATAAACTGGATCAGATTAAAACATGCCATTTGTGCTGTCCATCTGCACATCTTCACGTTTCTACACTCCTTCCTGGCTGAAGAGATGTAAAATATTTCTAATAACTTAGTTAAGTTATTAGATATCTACCATATTAAATATCTACCATATTCCCCCCACTTTTTTGTATTGTTAACTGACAATGACAAGTGGTGGAGGAACTTTTCAAACCAAAAAGCAATAAAAAACCTTACTTTACATAAAACTGTATTATTGAAAAATTGTGTATAAAGTATCAAAACTAAAACTATTCTGCAGAAAAATGTCACTAATCAGTGTTAAATATTATTTTTATCACTGCTCCATATGTTTAAGGTTGATCACATTTTAAACACTGTATTTCTGTTTAATTTTCAGCATCAAATTCTATAAATCACACATTTGTCGTGGCTGTCCTGTGAGGACCGCATATCTATGAAAAAAAAAAATCATTTGTTCGTTGCCCATCTTTTCTACATCACAAATGTTCTCCAAGGTGGCCAGTAAGACAACTATTTGTGTTTCCATATGAAGCATATTACTGATCTCAGAGCAATGAAAGCTCCCCTCAGCTTACCATGAAAGACCAGTGGTTTATCCAAAAAGGACATGCACAAATTACCTGAAACAAACTGCTGGCCTCCTAGCTCCAGTTATTGTTAATAGGAGACAGACACGCCTTCAGAGATGGAAACAGCTACATTTTTCTGTGAGATAAAATAAGCACAGCTTTCAGCGACAATAGCCAACTGCAGTCACAAAATAGCAGTAATGTAAAGGACAGATTAACTGACAGGAGGAGCTTTATGATGAGGGATCACTTTACTTTGCTACGTTATAATTCACGTTTATTTTTAGATTTGACAAGGCACGCTACTTGCTTTGCTTGTCCTGATGGAACATCACTGACACTACCAGTCTAAAGTTTGGACACACCTTCTCATTCAATATTTTGTTTTTATTTTTGCTACTTTCTACATTGTAGATACATAAACAATGTGGGCTTTAAATATAATTAAGAAACTTTCTGAAGGAAACCTGGGCTTGTTAAGAGAGACGCCATCCATTCCAATTTAGATGGAGAAGCTCTCATTTCTAAGAATCTGGCCAAATATATTAAGCCCCCCAAAACGTGACGATCCAGAGTTGGGAACAGGAAACAGAGTTGCAGTCTTACACGCCTCTCTGCAGCTTCTCTCCTCCCATTATCCCCCCAAAACAGATCAGATCAGAGCTCAGATAAATGCCATACAGATTTCCAGTAGCACACACATCCCTACATCAGCTGTTCAAAGGAGACTGTGCAAATCAGGCCTTTATGGTCAAATAGGTGCTAAGAAACCTCTACTAAGGGAAAGCAACAATCAGAAGAGATTTGTTTGGGCAAACAAATGTGTGGGGTTCAACACATTGGGTCTAACCCACAACCCTGAGATTAATAATCTCATAGTCTTGAGCTAATCAGGCTCCACAGTAAGCTTTCAATTCATGTCATACCAACATTCAAGACAAGTTCTTCCTCTGACCTCTAATATAAATAAAGTATTTACACCCAGGAAACTCTCACTAGATAGTTTTTCTTTTCAAACCAATCTTTGTAAACCCTAGAGATATTTCTGTGAGAAAATTCCAGTAGATCAGCAGTTTCTGAAATACTCAGACCAGTTTTTCCAATGTGACTGATTAACAGGTAAATGTAATAAAGAGGATGTATATAAGTAGCAACAATGCTAGCAGATATGAGTGGGTATATATAGATTCTGGATAATGTTTGAGCTTATTGTATCCAGCTTATGGGACGCAGTATCCAACAACAAGACCAAATTGTCAGTACCTGTTTTACTAGTAATATAAAATTCTTAGTCAGTACTCTCATGTCACTCATTGTTATTGCTTTATCATAAATTAAATAAAATGATAATTGATTTCATTTTAAGACATATTTAATTATTCCAATATTTAATTAATTAATTATTTCATAGTTCCTGTGCTGCTGTCTATGAATTTATTTTCCATGTAAATCTCACTGATCAAAATCAAGAACTATGTCTAACACTGATTTAATCAAAATCATTGCTTTGGTCTGAAGTCAGTTCTTTCAGTGAACACTGCTCAATACAAGTACACAGAGTTTGAACTTGCATGCTTCTAGTTCCTACTTTGCAAGTACACTCAGAAGTCAGGACTTCTGAGCATGGAACATCCAGCTCACAGTGAGACAGTAGAATATTTGATGACATCAGCTCACTTTCACATTGTACTTTACTGCCTTTTAACCCTTATGGTTAATATTCACAATGAATATTGTGAATATTCATTGATTTTTTTTCAAGGAGAGGGTAGAGCTGGGTGAATGGGTGGGTGCTTTCACTCCTGCCACTAGCACTGTTACATGATTTTACATTGACGTGATGGCCAAATAGGTCCTGCAAAAATTGGGTACGAAGGGGTTGTTCAGTTGGTTGCATTCTCCAACCTTTACCACTAGATGACACTAAATTACACACACAAAATACATAAATGAATACCTATTAAATTCATATTTTAACCACAAAGAACTCCCACTGCAAACCATATAGGACATTAGACTGTATTTTTAAGCTCAAACAGGTGACGTGACAATAACAATAAAATTTTTGAGAGCCGGTGTACAATGAGTCAGGGCTGCTGAATACGTACAAAACTTTGAAAGAAACATGTTCAAACGGGGTGTCGTTTTTGGACATCCGAAATAGCTGCATTTTTTTAATTTGCATATACAGGCACAGTATTCAATTGACCTTGCTCTGAACGACTTGCGACTTAAACTGAAGAGAATAACGTCATTTGAAACAATCAAAAGTAAACTGATCTTTTCACATCCAGTTTGCAGCTTTACGCCATGCACATCAAAGCAGAAAGGTCCCAGAGTAATAAAACTGTGACCTAGATAACATGTCATAAAATATACGGCTTAAACTTAAACCATACAACTGGTGTGAAAAAAACAGTGGGTGGGGTGAGAAAATAGTTATTTATTCAAGTTAAGTCTTTAAAGCGTTTCATAACATTTTTCAGCATCAGTCAGTCACTCAAAGCTCCAGCAGACCAGTTACCATCCCCCATCTCAAAATCAAAACACAAGTACATGTGTGCAGTCCGCTGTCACGTGTCGAAGAAAGCCCCCAACAAAACAAATGGGATTAAAAAAAAAAGCTGTTGAGTGACAGGAGTGATTATCCAATCGGCCTCCCGAATCTGGGTAGCAACAAGATAAATACAGACCTTTTGACCAATCAGAGAGCAGTAGGGGGCGTGAATTGACGAATTCTCGCGCTTACTTCCGTCAATATTTCCAGCTCCGCAGGAGGGGAAGGCTAGAGACGGAAGCAGAGACGGGCAACGCAACAGAAGAGCTGCTTCTCTTTAACGGTTTGTTTGGCCGTTTTTCAGAAATTCACAGTCTTATACCAGCGTAGCGGAGATTCATTATTTTCTTCTTGTCGTCATTATTTGTTTTGGGTCGACTGACAGCTTCGTGTTTGATAGCTAAAACGACTTTAACAGCGCCCGCTAACGCTGTCATTGTCCAAATTCTGAAGGTAGAAAAATATATAATTGCGTCACGGATATTGCAAGGTATGTTATTTAAGTATATTAAAACGCTGTGGCTTAGTCTGGCCCTTTACATACGAGTGTTAAATCTGTAAACGCGCTGTAACAGGGTAATTGAGAATGGCTGATGGCCCTCTGCTTTATGTGATATGCAGTTGAAAGGTAGCTGCAGGCTACAGTGTCTCTATGAACACTAAGAGAAACCATAATAATACTTTTTGTTTTCACCTTTTTTAACCAATGCTGGCATAAAATATAAGAATCTATGTGTGGTGGGATTTGTTTAAAAACAATCAGTTTCAATTTGTAAGCTTTAAAAAAAATCATCTCAGTGTTTTTGAACTGCCATTAAATTGGTGATATTTATAACTTGTTCACCTTTTCATTTAAAAGTTGTTGTTTTTTTCAGTAGAACCTAATGTGAACATAATGTGAATATAACCGGTTAAATGCTTAAAACTGTTTGTGAAATTTTATTGTAGCATGCTGTATTTAACAAGGACAAATTAGATTTCAAAATTTCTCTCTTCTTTGCATGGTGGCATCAAGAATAAAAAAAATCTTTTTCTAACAAAAGCTGGTTAAACCTCCAGGTGTGAAGTAGCAGCGGCCCTCTCTGCTCACAGTCTCACACCTGCCAGACAAGATGCCTTTCTTGGGTAAGGATTGGAGATCGCCGGGGTGGAGCTGGACAAAAACGGAAGATGGCTGGAAGAGGATCATCTTGTTCGGAGATGTTTTGGAGGACAACAACGGAGAGATTGATTTGAAAGAGTAAGTTGCCTTCACCTTTATCTACTTTTAATCAAATTTCTTTGGTTTAGTATCATCTCTGTCTGAGCTCTACATATTTAAGTAGTCAAAAATTCGGCCAATTAAAGAGCACTTTAGCTCTGTTTCACATTGGTGACCTGTCCTGGGTGTACCCCACCTCTAGGATAGGCTTCAACCTCCCTGAGACCCTCATAAGGGCGTGCAAAAGAGAATGCATAATAGTAGTATATTTAAAGTTGTGCTGCTCAAAATATTGATACAGCCTAAAATGGAATGAAAAAAAAACAACGAAATTGCTGGTCATCTTTCTTAAAAAAAACAAGGAGTTTAATCAGTTTTGAGTAAAAGTAGATCATAGTTTATTGGCTTACATTCATTGCCTTATATGGCAATATGTTTGTAGTAGCTTGTATGTACATTACTTTGACCATTTTTAGTTTGCTGACAACATTTTGGAGTGCTGTAAAATTTTATGAGTTATATTAAAAGTGTAGTAATTAAAACAGGTTGCTTTTATTGTATAATCCAACTGTGCCTTTAGAGGCCAATCTAGGCCTTCAGTGGATACTCTAAATTGGATTACAGAATCACAGATTTCTTAGAAAATAGAAAAGGGGAAAAAACTAAAAGGAGCAGTGGTGAATGATTTAATAAGGATACATGAGTGGACAGATATCCGCTGAACAACATTTCTCTGGATATTTTTCACATTTTTAAACTTTGTAAGACCTACAAACTCTTTCAGGTTTCTTTTATATGTGTAAAATAAAAAAATGTAACCACAACAGTAGGCTAATTACATGTAATACCTGGCTTAATGGATCT